TTTTGAGTCCAAAATTGTCTTTCATATGGCAAAATTATATAAGTGACGTGTGAAAAGCAAGGTCTTCTGAGGCATTGGAGGGTCAGATAATTAAAGCTGACCATTAAATCACACACCATTATCATCCTAGCAGGGCTGGGCCAACTCCACTTGGCCCTTCTGCTTCCAGTGACCTCTGACAATTGTTTTTTCCATCTATGAAATTAGAGTATGGCTCCACACTCGCTGCGAAACCTCTTTAAATATCTTTAGAAACATTGTGGTGCATTATGCACTTCCTTATCTTGCCAAGAGCACATTACATCCCTCACAAGTAGAGGATATTCTTGTTTTCAGGCTGAGGGATGACTTGTCCAAGGTCACACGCAGGGGATCTGTGCCAGCAATGGGAATGGAACAGAGGTCTCCCAGGTCTCAGGCTGGTTTTGTAATATCCATTAACCTGTCTGGGCCTGAGAAAAGGGGATATTGCAGTAGTTTAGGCTCTTTTCCCAAGAAGAATGTTGAAGATAAACCAAGAGAGAAACTAAGTTGTACCTCCAGGTGGGACTGGTGCTCTCTCACATGAGGACTCATCATCTCACCGTGCTGTGAGCGCTGCTCTGTGCAGGATTCTCTTATCCTCTTTTCTTTATGTGACTTCCAATTATGGACACAAGTGCACAAAAACATACCCATGGCAACAGAATATTTTGTTCCACAGCTGACACTGCTTAAGTTCATCTCTCGTTCACACTGAGGCAGCCACACTCAAGTTTGGGAAAACAGCAGGTTAACAAGTGCCATGTGGTGGGTTGCAAAGATCCTTTATTGACCCACCCTGTAAATAGAAGTCCGTTCTAGTTTACCCAAGCTGCTGCATCCATTCCACTGAATCACTGCGGAAATTCAGCTGTTAGCACCAGCAGCACATAAATCCTGCCAGACTATTGCAAAGGTGGCTTTGTGAAGCACAGCTCATCACTGAAGGGAGGCAGATTTGACAGTCAGGAAGCATTCTGAGATCTGGTGCTGATGATCCCGGAAGGGGCACCTGAACTATCGCCAGCTTGATCTTCTTTGTCTGAGGGCTGGCTCACAGTCTCACATGTTCTTGTGTGCTCATTCCAGTTGTGCAAGGCTTTCCTGTCCCAACAGAAATTGCTGTCCCTTAAAGGGACGAGAGTAAATGAGGTGGAGGGGGATAATAGCAGTGGGGAAGCTGGAGGAAACCAGATGCGACAAGTGCTGAAGCAGAACTTTTCAGCTTTGTGGTGGCTTCCAGCCAGATGAGATCACAGCTCCTACAGAATCTTGTCTCCCATTATTTCCTTAATATTTTACTCTCTTCCTTAAGAAGCAGGAATTGCTAATCATCACCTGCCTTGAATACCCTCTGCATTTGAAGCAAATAGTAGCAGAGGGGGGTGGCTGACAAATGCTGGTGTTTATGGCCTGCAAACGGAATCCTTCTAAGCCTGTTTGGAAAACTAACAGGGGATGAAGTCTGGATTAAAAGAGACTTTTCCACCTCTCATCCCTGTGAATTTATGTTGAGATTACTAAAAGGCCGGCAAGGAGAAATGACTTGGCAAGCCTCCTTTCTTCTGCTCAGCATTCAGTATCATACATCAGCCATGGGGTCTGGTGGCAGGCAATAAATAGGACTCTGAGTATCTGAAGCTAAGATCAAAATTCTTCCTAAGATCCCTAAGCACAGCTCTCGGCTGCTGCAGGTCTTGTAGGTACCCTGTATGATTGGCTGATAGTAACCTTGCAGTAGATTAACAGACTGTCCAGAAAGCTGATCCAATTACTCTGCATCTGACGATGAGCATGAAGACAGGCAGCAACCATGCAGCTTTCTGGAGAGACAGAGAGACTAGACACTGCCTGGAAGCGTGTATGTGCTACGTGCAGGCTCTGCCTGTGGGAATTAAGGGAGACAATGCGACAGATAGGGAACAATGAGTGTCTGTAATGTACAGCATACAGCAACAAAGCCAAAGTAGCCCAGTGTGCTGCAGAACAGAGAAAGAGACTGTTAAACAGCAGCCCCATGAGGTAGAAATCCTGCCAAGCTGCTTAGAGGACAATCGACAGGCCCTCCTCAGCTGGAAGGTGGCTCAGTGCAGCGGAAAAGGCTGTGAATGAGTGGGATGATGGAGGAAAAAGAGGCATCCTCAAGGGATCCTTCACAGAAAAAGAAAACAAAGTCACCTTCATTTTTGTTACTCTCTTCTTGTGAGTTCAGACCTCAGCGCAGACAACACAACACTTTGCCCACTGCAACACAAACAGATGAGGTGAGGCTGTTGTGTGAAATGAAGCCCTGCCTCAGAAACAAAGCAGATTTCAGGTATTTTGCAGAAGGCCAAGGAGAGTTTCACATTCACCTGGTGAGCAGGGATGTCTGATTCTCCAAACCTCCAGTTTTATTTGAAGCAACCCTTCCAATACCACCTGGCCGCCCAGCTACCTCTGAGCTAGCCATCCTACTGACACAGCTCCAGCTCTCCATGCAAGCACTCCCCTAAAACCACAGCACCTCTACAAGCTGGGACAACACTTGGCAGTATGAAGGACATGGCATAACGCTCCCTTCACTTCCTGCACTGTGCAGCACAAGGCTGTGGGAGGCTGAGCACACATCACAGCCTGTGCACAAGAAGCCAGTGCGAGCGGGGAAGCAGAAAAATTAGTTCCTGGGCATTTTGATGGGAAAAAGAAAGGAAGGCATGAAAGCAGACTGGAAAGAGCCAGTGCAGGGCTCAGCCCTGCTTGCTGCAGTCGCTCGCAGTGTAGGGGAGCAGCACCCTCTGCTGCTGGCATGCTGGTCTCCAATGCACCTTTTTTTCTTCCAGAGACCTACTAGGAGAGAGGAGCTCGGAAAGGAAATGTCCCTCTACAAGTCAAAACACTGCAGCATGTGGGTGGTTTGTTTGTCAGACGGTTTGGTCATACAGCTGCTGGAAGAGGCGATGCCAGGCAGCATCTGCTTGCAACAGATAATAACGATGAGGAAAGGCCCTGGCCTTGTGCTGAAAAGATTTTGACTGTTGCTGCTCCCTGGCAAGTTCTCTTGCTGTTATTGTTTGATTAGTGTGACTCAACACACACAACAGGGAGCCTGTGGATTAAAATCTCCCCTAAATTCCTCTAGCAGCCTCTTTGAAACACCCCACATCCCTGCAGGGCAGCTGATTTATTACTGCTGTGCACTGAGAGGGAAGGGGAACTTGGCAAGCAAGGTGACTCACTTGCAGGGAATCAGGGCAGAGCCTGCATGCAGCTCTTCTATGCCAACCCTGGGCCAGCAGAATCACAAAGGAGCAGGAGGTCCATGCATGGATAGGTGGGACCAAGGAGCCATGCAGCCACTTGAATCCCAGCTGCCCAAAGTTTTTTTCCTCCTGCTTGCTTTTTGCTTTTCCCAGATCAAGCTGTTTAATATCAGGTTCATCCCACAAGCATTGTCCCAGATGAGATATGCTCACCCCAGGCATACTGAGAGCACTGAGTCTGTCTTCAACTTTCCTCCCTCTCCCTACTTGCATCCCTAGCATCCAGCCCCAGGATCCCTTCCTCCAGGGCAAGTTAGCTGAGTGATGCCCACTGCAGCTTCAGTACCCCACAGATCATCCAGAGACACAATCCTCTTCCTTTCTGCAGGCAGCACGGGGGAGTTTCTCCAAGTCTTCAGGCACACAAGGTACTGTGTCAGCTCATAAAATACACCCAACGTAAGAAAAGAAGCATGCAAAAAAAATGCCCAAACCCTGCTAAAAATAGGCAGGGATCTACAGAAAATAACCTCCTTGACTGTTTGTCTTTGTACACAAGGTCTCATTTCAGCAACGCTGCTCAGAGCCAAACAGCACTCACACAAGACCCAAATTGTTCTGTGGGTAGAGATGCCTACAAAAAGGGAGCCCTGTTTAAGGAAAAAATGAGGCGATGTCTACTCAGAGCACCATCAGGACACAGTTCTCAGTAGAGCAATCTGTCAAACAGACAGCGGTCCTGCTGCAGGGAGCAGTGCGGGCACAGCCTGCAGGGATGCTCACAGGAGAGCCTGGTGCTGCATTGCTACAGCACAGCGCGGCAGCATCTGCAGGGAGCAGCATCGAGTCGTGCTGCCCACAGACATCTCACAAAGCAGATTGTCTTGAGATCTTGTTTTCGATCTCCACCATCTCTCTTATTTCCCTTATTTCCCCTTTTAAGGTCATCTGTTTGGTGGAAAGGAAGCCATAAACCAAATCTCTGCTAAGGAAAGCAATGAGGCTGGAGGCACAGACCTACTGAGGGTTGCCCTTAGCTATGGCTGAAGGAGAAGTCAAGAACAGCATCACAAAATTTGTTTTCAAAATAATTAAGACACTGGAGGCCTTGCTGCTCTTAGCACCTGCCTCTGCTCGCTGCGTGTGGGGAGGATTCAGTGATGCTGTAACTGCTCAAAGCATCTCCCTGCAGTGACGTGCACTGACTTCTGAATTAGAATTAAACTCTCTCTAAACTAGAATTAAAGCATTTCTGACCTGGTTAAGAAAACATTGTCCAGGCCGCACGGCACAAACACTAGGCCTCCTCACCTGGACATCATCTCCAAACAGAAGGGCTGCCCAGATAATTCAGCACTGCTAACAGCACTGGAGAGTACCAGAACCACAGCAGGGCAGAACTGCCAGCTGGAGACTTACCTCAGGCACCAGCAGGACTGGGCGTTTCATGTCCTGGTGCTGGGTCCATCTTCTCACCTTGAAACAGCCTCAATTGCTCCTGTTCTGAAAAGCCCTGGCCTTGTTCAGATCATACAGACACACACACAAAAAAAAAGACTTGGCCAGTAAAAGCAAATAATAAAGACTCCTGTTTTTAAACTGCAGAACATTCAAAAATGTCCTCTTTGCACAAGGAGAGCTTTAACACCTAAGGAGAGCTTTAATCACCAACAGGATTGGGGCACGCAAGGGAATGAATCAAGACGACTGTCAAGCTTTGAAAGAACTTAAAAGACATTAATGCTAAAAAAATATTTATTTTTTAATAAATATAAATCTCTATTCATGACACAACATGAAAGGAAACATAAAATTTACTCATGGGAAAATAAGATTTTACAGCTTGAGTTATAAAAGTTACAGTGAGAAAAAATGAATTCCAGTGTTAGTTTTCTGTAAAACAGTAAATATCACACCACCGAATCACAGGAATGCAATGAAGAAACCATTTGTCACTAAGAAAAAGGAATTGTTATCAATATTCACTTAGAGACAGACTGTAAGCAGTTACTCCATGGATTTGCTTCTGCAAAGAAAGGTTAACACACAATCCCTCAGGAAGGTGCAGCCTCCCATTAATAGCTTTCACCAAATAAAAATAGCGCTGCTCCTTGGCCTACAGCCCAGCGGATTTCTACCATTCTTCTCCGTCAGATTTGTTGCTGGTTCTGCCCTTCTTCCCATCCACGGTCTCTCTTGCCAGTCACAAATGTTATACATTGCAAAATATTTATTTCTCATTTGGCAAATGTTAAGTATTAAAGAGCTTAAAAGGAATGTCTGTGGAAAAAATATATATACAGTGCAACCCCAGCAGCTACGCTCACTGAGGAAAACACACACAAGTTTCTAATGGATTTTTATGAGATCAGGATGAATTTCAGGGTGACCCATTGGGGACTTCCCAAATGATCCCTATCTTCAGCTCTGAAGAGCAGCTGCTCTTGGGCTGGCGGTGATAACAACACTATCTAGAAGTGCAAATAAACCCCTCTAAAAATAAAGATCAGTGTTTATTTTGAAAGGTACCAGCCAAATGTTATAAAAGAATGTGCAGAAACGAGAAAACGCAAATGCCAGTCATTTGTAAAGCAGGAATAGATTCTGCCACTGTAACAAGATATTTATTCTCACATAGGTCCATTTTTCATTATAACTTGTTCCCTCACCCCAAGCACACAAGAACTAGATTCAAGTTAACATGGCTACTTTTGTTTAAAGAAGGAAAATGACATTTAAATTTATGGCCATACCAGACCTAACACATCTTCCTCCGCACAGCTGTTTCAGCCACTGTGGTATATTTTAGAGCCAGTGTTTGCTAGCACTCATCTACTTGTTCCAGTTAACTTCTCTGATTCCAGACTTCACTTGCACCAAGGTGCCTGCAGTGCTTGCCTTCCTCCTGCATTTCTATGCTATTCTCTTTCCCTGCAATTTATTCTCACCCTTTTGTGTTTCTGCTGGTAGTTAAGCCAGCTGAAACTGCAAAACAGGCAGCAGCAAATGTACTGATGAGCACACACAGAATAGAGGGATAACCAACCATCCCAGGTGTTAGAGCAGGCCAGGTAAGGCACTCATCTTTCTTCTGCAGATGATACAGCTGCACCAGAAGTCCTATCCTTTCCCATGCAAGAGCCAAGTGATGTGCATTGGGACAGCTCAGCTCTGCTTAGTCAGCTGCAGTACACAAAATGCCATTTTTCAGCACCATCTGCAGGCTTGGGAGGGGGCTGCCAGAAACCACAGCCATTCCCCGAGCATTTGGCCTCTTCCTGCAGCCCACAGTTTCTGCCAGCTCGTGTTCTCCCTGGCCCTGTTTGCCTAGGGACTGCTGACCATTAACAGGCTTTCTGGAGTTTGCTCAGTATTCTTTTATCTGCACAATTAGCAGAGGATAAGAATTCTGATTTCCGCATTAAGATGAGCAGAAAGAAAGGCAAGGACTTGAGAACCTGGGAGCATGGGCCATTCAAACTGTTCTGCGTGCCGCCAGACCACAGCAATTATTTGCAGCCTGATTTGCATCCTCATTACCCAGATTCAGCAGATGCCCCAATGCAGGGAAGGATTTGAGGCCAATGCCTATCATCCAGCTGCATCAAACGAAGTCTCCTTCCTTCCACATCCTGTGGAACTGCAGGTCTGTGAAGGGTCACCAAATTCCAGGCGCAACTACTGAGGATCCCACTTTCCCTAGGAGGCTACAGGGCTGTGAAGGGTGGCGCAGCCCCACACCGCACAACTCACTGCTGCTTCCTGGAGTCCAGGTGCCATTTCGTGTCAGCACTGGGGTCCCTGCATCACCCTCAGCCCCGTCACCTCCATCCAGAATACCCCAAGTTGGAAGGAACCTGTAAGAATCATCAAGTCTAACTCATGGCTCCACACAGGAGCACCCAAACATCAGACACCATGACTAAAAGTGGATGCGTGCAGAAAATTCCCTGCCATTCTAAGCAGTGTCCTGGAGCTGAAATCCCACCACCCCCATCCCCAAACATGTAACTACCTTAATGCACGATGTAACGAGGGACATGTGGATGGTCTTTAAAGCTTCAATTCTGAGGACAGACAAAAAATGTTTTAGAGAATGAGACAAACACAGAAGATGGATAAGGAAACCACCACTCCTTTGCTGGCTAAACACAAATGACTATTCTGAACACCAAGGTTTTCCCTTAATAATTATTGTGCTACAGGGAAATAACAGCTTTGCAAACTGCCATGTTCCTCACCCTGTCCCCATTACTCTAACAGCCTAAAAAGCAGTGTGGTTTCCTTCTGCATCCCCCATGGTACCAGCTACCCACTTAAGGAAAGCAGCAAATTACTGCATATAGACTCAGCCCCTGCTGCTTGGCAACTGGCGAAGACCCAGAACTACCGAGAGCTCACAAACTGGTGTCAGCATTTAGGGGACACATGCCATGAAAGCTGCAGGAGAGCCCAGCCCTCGTCTGTGCTGGCTGACATCATGATGGGCTGCATGAATAAGACAACAAACTCATGTGCACGTGAGACCTATTTTGCTGAGGCCACACCAATGTCCCAGACAAAGCTGAGCAGAAGACGGACATGTCATTACCACATCCATCTTCAAACCTGAGAATATAAAAGAAAATTTCTGGCAGGTATTTAATTTAATAAGTCTCCATTGTGTCTGCGAGGTAGCTCAGTATTAATAATCAAAAAGCCTGAGAGGAGAGAACTGAGGCACTTCAAGGTGAGGTAATGTGTCCAAAGTCACGGTTCAGTCCTGGCAGAGCCAGCAATGCTGCACTGGGCTCTTGGCTCTTGCTTAGCTCTGCACACTGAGCTGAGCTCAAATGCCACAGGCACTGCAGGCCACCAATTTCCCAGAAGGTGACAGCACTCTGTCAGAAACTGCTGCTGGCAACAGAAAAAACATGGGCACTGTGTAGGAAAATCCAGGCTTTAAGAGCCAGGACAACCACGGAGAAGGGACACTAGGAACATCATCCAAGCAGAGCTTCGTAATCCACGTACCACACCAGCTGTCCTGAGCTGGGGCTGACACCCGAGATAGGCCATTTTCTTGGCTCATGGCCCACCCTGCTGATCTGCATGGTGATGTCATGTTTGCCCTTCCCCATTACTAGGACAAACACCTGTTGGGCCTTGTTGATAAGGGGCAGAGTGAGGCTCATCCTCTGGTGAGGTTTGACAGGGCTCTCCGTCAGTACCACAGCCTGAGCCCCTTCCAAACCATTTTCAGAGTGGGGGAACAGCGAGGCAGTATGGCCATCAGTGCCCACCCCCAGCAGCACCAGGTCAAAGCTGGCGTTGGCCACCAGGGCCACGATCTCCTTGGCGTACAGCTCTGTGCCTCCATCCTCTTCCACACAGAGCCGCTGGTGCAGGTGCACGGGCATGGGGTGGACATTGAAGTAGGGAACTCTGATGTTCTGCAGGAGGTGGTTGTGCAAGCTGAAGAAGTTGGACTCTGGGTCGGTGAGTGGGACGCAACGCTCATCCACCAGCCAGAGGTGGGTGTGCCTCCACGGGAAGTCATAATGGTGCCTTGCCAGCCGTTGGAATAGGGCCACCGGGCTTGAGCCGCCCGAGAGGGCCAGGTGGAATTGCCCAGAGCGTGCCACAGCTCTGCTTGCTGTCTTCTCGACATCAGAAGCCAGCTGAGAAATCAACACCTCGGACCACGCTGAGACCAAGGGGCTTTTTCGAAATTTGGACTGGATCGTCTTGTAATCACTTGGCATCGGCCCACTGGGGTTCAGCAATTCCACTGGCTCTGCCACTGTGAAGGTCAGTTCCCCACTCACCATTTCAAAGTCTAAGAACTGCTGGTTCTCCACTCCACCAGGGTAGAGGCGCGGGGCCTGGTGGGAAATGCTGTTCAGCAACGGTGTCCAGAATGCCCAGGAGGCCAGCAAGTTCTCAGTGGTTATGAAGAAGTCTTTCCTGCCATGGTAGATGTTGGAGATGAGGACAGAATACGCATCTCTCTCTTTCACAGGGCTGTACACGTAGTAATCAGACAGCAGCTGTCCAAAAATGTGCAGGTCAGGCTGCCCTACAACTTCTCTCCAACTGCTTTTTGGCATGATGGGCCTGAAAAGGTTCCTGCTCACCAGCACTGCTGGAGTGTTGAGCACGCCATGTCCAATGTAGAACACAATCTGCTTGGGTTTACACTGGCTGTGCCCTGCATCCCTCAAAGCCTCGCTCTGTGTGCAGTAGGCCCGGTTCTTGAAGAGAACTCGGACATAACCTACCCGTTCATCCAGAGCTTTTCCAGAAGTAAGGAGGAAAGGAACCCCTTCCCAACGCAGGCTGTCACTGTGGACAAGCACACCTGAAATGACACAGTGATCTCAGCTACCAAATTCAACTTGACACCTAAACAGCAAGCAGATTTGTGAGGAGCTGTCATCTAGCCACTCTCCTTCCTTACCTCCCAGAAACCCTGGCATTCACTGTGCCTCTTGCTCCACATTTAACTCTTTAACAACAGCACAGGATTAACTGCTCTCCAGGTACCTCTGTGCTCCCTCCCAAGCATCCTACTTGCTCAACCTCTTTTTGCCTTGAAGGAAAGGTATTTCTAAACATGAATATCGTTCAGACAAAACCTTTGATGTTAAGAAAACACAGCACAGCTAGCGGTGGCCTGGTGGTCTACCAAAGAATTCCTAATGCTTTATCCTTCAAATGTAGAGAGCAACTCTGTAAGAAAGCAAAGAAGTTTGCAGGCCACTTCTAAAAATAACACACAGACCTTAGCAAGAATAAAGGTACTTTGCTCCTATGCAGTGCTTCCCATTTGTAGCAGTATTCGTTAACAAAAATGACAATAGTTCTATGTTTTTACAGGACCAAGGTACCATGTTTGTGGATGCCTGGAGTTACCCCCACGTCAGCTGTGAGGTGCAGTGTCATGGAGTAAGGATTTTCATCTCCTGCTCCCCTTGGCTCTAGAGTACTCCTCCTCTCCAGAACCCAGAAGAAAAAACTCACCTGCAAAGGTTGGTGTTGTGCTGACATAGTTCTGCCCCTTCTGCAGCTCCTCCTGTACATGGCTGGCATACGCCTGATACTGACCCAGCACAACACTCTGTTTCTCCAGGCCTCTCAAGGACTGCAGGGCCTGCAGCTTGCACTGCAAGACTTCTTCAGCCTTGCTCAGGTTGCCTGGGAGCTCCATGGTCAGGAACATCAGGGCCTCAGTGAGGTGGTTCTGCAGCACATCCCGGATGACGCCATACTGCTCATAGAAACTGGTGCGGCCTGAGGACAACGAGGAGGTAAGACACTGATAAATGAACTGAGTGTTCTGCAGCCCTGCCTTGTGCTATGCACGTGCCCAGAAGACCAAAACTGGTTTGCGCTGCTCTCCTTCTGATCTAAAAGTTACCATGAGCCTATCAAGCCTCTCCTTTCCCTTCAGACGGGTTTCTGAAATGCCCCTGCTACCAAAATGAAGATTTCACCCTGGCAGAAAGAGCAGCACTCTTCTCTGCCTCTTTTCCCCTCATTTTCTGTCCTCAGGAGGCTCTGGCTGAGCCATGCCCTTGAGAGACAAAATTTTGTGCACAAAGCTCTGCTTCTCCCTTGCTTGACTGCTCATTCAGGGGAAGATAGACAATGTACTTTTAACAAACATGACTCAAGCAGATACCTTTCTGTAATCCTTCAGCAGCAGGCTGCACACTGCAGACTACATCATGGCCATAGGCTTCCCCTATTGATTGATACTTTTATCTCCCTTGCTCTAATCCAAAGATACATTCATTAGTGTAATCAATGCTGCAGATTTGCTAGGAGTCAGGCTGCAGCTGAAGCCGCACAGAGGAAAGAAGACGTCAAAGGAAAAATGACAATGTTTTTCAGAGAAGGGAGGGCACAGGGAGTAGCTGGGAATACTCACACACAGCACTGTTCTCCCCAAACCTCTCTGCAGTGCTTCCCTCTCCTAAAATCAGGTCCCAGCTGAGGTCTAGGCTGCCAAACCAAACATTCTGCAGAGACTGGTAAAGTCGCATTAATTGAGATTGTGGTTGCTGGGGGTGAGAAGGAGGGAGGAAGGTAGAAGAGGTGGTTGGGGGAGTGGAAAAGCAACCCTGATGTTGCAGAACTGAGGGCACCTGACATCCCAAGAACTGCTGCGGGTGGCAGTCCTTCCCCATTGCTTTATGCTGAGTACTGCAAAGCAAATGCTGCAGGACTGCAGGGAGATTGCAGCCATGTCCTTCAGCAGGATATCCATGCTAGCAACTCTGGGCTTCAGTTTTTCTCCCTGCAAGGCTCTTAGTATCCAGAGAAAATGAAAGAGGCAGACAAAACCAGGCTGACCTGGGTACTGACAAGCCAGGTTGAGCAATGCCCAAGCAAAAGGTAGAAGAGCATCTTCCAAAGAATACCACAAACAAATACTCTGTACCAGCTTGATAACTAACAGGACAGGAACAAAAAAAGATTGCCAATAAAATAGCCAGATTCTCGCATCACTAAACAGAGGAGGTTTTAGATTGCATCAATTCCAAATGCAAGGCTTCTTACTGACATCTAAGATCCCTGAACTGCAGAAAGCTCCCTGAAATTCCTCCAAAGCTCCATAGCAGAAAAAAGGTGAAGCTTCTACTGACCTGCAGTCGAATTCCAATGGGAATCTTTTCTTGGAAGGTGATTCAGTCCCAAGCACAGAAAGTATAAGACAGTCTCTCTCCATTTCCAGGGAGCAGCATGTCATCCACCTGCACTTTTGTTTCTGCACCAGCACTGCCTCAGGGAGCACTTTCACATAATTAATAAGCCTGCTGGTTCTCCCTCTCACCTAGCTACCCTAGCTTTGCACACTCGCTCCACAAACCTTTAGCATCCACAACCTCCTTCAAGACGATCTCCACTCTTTCCACATGATGTCTGTTCCAAATTGGATCCAGAAACTGGCGGTTCTGATCTCGAAAAGGCAAGATATGAGCTACAGCCTGCAAAAAGAAACATGAAAGATCCAACAAAAACTTACCACATCTCTATTTCCTCCTCATTGCCCCATCCAGCACTAGGATGAGGCCAGCTCTAGAGGGCCACACAGCAGAGAGAGTGAGAGTAAGGAAAAATCATCAAGAGCCTGTGATGGTACACAGTTACCCTACCCTAGCCCTACTACAACACATAGTAGAACACTCTACTGACTGTACATTAAAGGTTTCGCTGAAGCATTCTGAGGTTTCATGTGAAAAAGGCTGAAAAGCAAGCTTCAAGGCTCTCAGTTAATATCCCTAAAAAGACAAAGGGCTGAGTCAGACCATCCTGGGACTAACATATAGCTCCAGAGAGGTGAAATACATCAGATCAGGTGCTTACAACACTAAAGCCACCTTGGAGAAAAAAAAAAAAAAAAAAAAAAGTAAAAAAATGAGAAAGAAAAAAAAAAGAAAAAAGAAACAACAAAACCAAATCAAAACAAAAACCCTCTTAGCAGAGATGGTCTCCTTATATTTGTTCATGCACCTTTCTGATTATAATCTGGTCGCAGAGCCACGGCTGGAGCAAGCTACTTTCAAAACGTGCTATTACATTTCTCTAAAACAAGGATGGCATGTCCTTGGATGCATCTCCTCTGGGACAATGCAGTGCTGCACATCCTGAGCCATCCTTGCAGCAGGCAGACCCTGCACCCTGCCTGGAGCACAGGACAGGATGAAGCCTTCCAATCATCTACAAAGCTAACATCCCATCAGCTTCATACCATATCAAATTAAAAACTGCTTCTAGAAGCCACAGCTAGCAAAGGGCCTGTGCAGTGAGATGGAAGAACTGTGAGAGGGAAAGGGCTTACTCAACAAAACCAAAGCCCTGACCTTGCTGAGAAGACCAGATGAATTCTGCACCTCTCCCTCATGCACACACACAGTTTAACCCTACACCCCGGCTTCCCACTAGGGAGGGAACCTTCATCACAATTGGAAAAAAGCTCATCTGCACATTTCCTCTGCTGTGCGAGGGGACAGACAGCAACACACTACAGGGCATAAACAACTGTATGGAGCAACATAAACCAATGGAGCACATTCAATGACACTGCCTGAATTTGAGAGGGGACCATCACTCCCATCAGATGCAGAGCTGATGCACTCTCCCAGCCACCCTCAGCCTTGGAGGGGGCTGAGCATTGCACACTTCTTACCTGTTTGCCAAGGTAATGGTCCACCCGGTACATTTCCTCCTCCCTGAAGAAGCTCGTCAGCTCTGCAGCCATCTGCTGGGCTGATTCCAGGTCATGGCCAAAAGGTTTCTCCAGCACCACACGCAGCCAGGCACCTGGAGGCGGCCTGCAGCTGCTGTTGATGTGGCGGGCAATCTCTGTGTAGGCAAATGGTGGTACTGAGAAGTAGAAGATCCTTCCGGCCTCCTTCAGCCCCTCCTGGTGAAGTAGCACCTCAATCTCTCTGTTCAGTGCAGTGTAGTTTTCGGCAGTTTTCAGCTGGTGGTATTGGCTCAGCTTCAGGAATTGGTCCTTGAGCACAGCACACCTGTTGGGAGATTCATCTGGGGGACAGGTGAGCTTCTTCAGCACATCAAACATCAGCTTCTGCCCCGGCTCCAGACCTGTCAGCGCAGCCCCATGGAAGGTGAAGCTGTGGCCACTGCTCACTTGGTCTATGTAGAGCTGGAACAGACCCTGCCACAAATACTTCTTGGCTAAATCCCCTGTGGCTCCCAGCAAGACCACAGAGATGTGGCCCTGAGGCTCCTCAGCCAGTGATGGCAAGGCTCCCATGAGCAACATGGTACACAGGACTCTTCTCAGCATCTTGGGAGAGAGGAGGCAGGCTCAGGAACACTACAGAGAACAGGATTAAAGAAGAACACAATGTAAAGTGCCTCTTCTCCCATGGCCCAAAAACCAGGACTTCTGCCTGGATCCCCCACCCAACCACAATTCTTTCCCCCTCCACAATTTGAATCACAGCAGGAAATGGAGCTCTTGGAAAGACTGCAGTTTCCTTGTGCATACCAAGAAGTGGAAATCAGTCTGTGCCTAAGATCTTTCAGTAGCACAAGAGTTGCTTCCAAGACTCAGTTAATGAGGGGATACCAATGTCTTCAGACTGTGAAACTGAAATCCAATCTAATGCAGATTTCAGACCCGGCTACAGATGAACCTACATGCTAGCAAACTCAGGCTGCTGCTTTCAGCAACATCCTGTTTAGGACTTTGCTCAAGTGGCATTATGCTTTGTTGGCACTGCTTCATGTCAATATTGTCAGAGCAGCTCAGAGACAAGAATGACCACTGGCAGGTTCAGTTCACAGGCTCTCCTTTAATGCACTGCACTTCCACGACTCATGTGGACCACCACTCTCATGAACACAGCTGAATCAGGTTCCAACAAGCTACTGGGAGACAAATGGTCCAATAAAACAAAACAGGAAGAAGCAGTTTAGTCCTTAAAACGGAGTCTAGACATGAGCCAGTCTAGATGCTGTCTCATGACAGTTGTGTATGCAGCCAGGAAACAATGCTGGGTTTGTGTTCTGCCAAGTGCAGCTTTCTGTCAGAGAAGAGCATGTGGGCACCCACTCATTGCTGAGCCGGTAACAGCCGGTCTCCCTGGCCAAAAAAACCCTTTACTTGTTCTTATTTAGTCTTGTTTCTCTAATTCAAAATAAAGCTCTTTTAAGAGAAATGACGCACCCATTCTTACACTTAGAAACAGGGCAAAGACCTGTGATCGCAAAAAAAATCCTGAAATAAGTGAATATACCAACCTCTGTTCTCATTACAAGTATTAGTTCTGGTCAATAGTTCAGACCATTTAACTACCTGTGTAGGAAAATACACCCACATAGCATGGATGCAGGTAGGAAAGACCTTTAACAGCCATTTTTTGATAGCATAAGGAAAACATTGATGGCTCTATTCTGGTGCAACTGTAGTCTCACTGAGCTTTGCACTGATATGATTACATCATTTTAAAATGGCAGCTTCAAGAAAGTACAACTGGAAAATGGTCTTGGGTAAAAGAATGAATGCAATGTTCTTATCCTTCTGTGGGCAAGGGGAGACAGAAAAGCATATCCTCAGACAAAACATTCATAGCACGCCTGAAAACACTTCACTGGCTCTATTACAGTAACAGCTGTACAAACAGAAGCTCTTAGCTTCTACCTGCCCAGACCTACTTAGGACTGTTGTTTCCTAACTGGAGAAAAAGGCCTGGTCCTTACTCCTCATGAATGGAAAGGGGATGAACCACAGATGCTGTCCTAGTTCTGACTGGTTCGCCCACTGGAAAACTCCCACAAAAATCACTATTCCATCACAAAGCAACATAGGAGCTAAGTCAGCTAGAGAATAACAAACAAAACTTCTGAACATCTCTCCCCATCCTTAGCTTGAACTGGTCTTCATAAATCTCATTTTTCTCTACCCAGCAGACTCACCTGAGCAACAGAGGAGCTTTACAAAAGATGGTGAGGCAAAAGCAGCTGGAAACTCATCTTCCTCACAGCCCCAATTGCAGATCTCTCTCCTCCTGTGGCTGCAGACTCAACGGTCAATGGTCAGGTGAGCAGGATTTTGCAAGCAAGATAAGGCAGCTTGTTCCCCTTCTGATAAATGCAAGGAAAGGCTCAATTCCAGCAAAGAAAAAATGACCAAACTCACAGAGCAACATTCCAGCTCTCAACCCATCCACATCTGCTGTTTTTGAGTGGGCAAAATGCAGGCAACCTGTGGCAATTCGTGACTCCTCTGCTTTCCCTGGAAAGCTCCATAGTGCAACTCCTCTGTTGTGACCGCCTCCCCTCTCTTGCTCCTTCCTCTAATCTCCACACATACACTTAAATCCAGCAAACAGTGGTGGCAACTGCACAAGGGCAGATGTGTGGCTCTGAAGCTTTTGCCTGCACTAGAAATAATTATCATGTTTAAGCAGAAGTTTGTTTTCCTTTTACCCACTAGGGGGTTACAATGTAGATGACAAAGTTCCCCAGTGCAATAGGATAATAGTTACACTTTCTTAACAACCTTTGCTCCAGGCCCATGCTGCCCACTGCACAGAATGCAGCGGAGGTGCAGCTACCAGCATGGGAGGGAAAGGCTTGGGTGGGTCATACTTTTCCACATCACCAAAGAAACAAGAGAATTAGCCACAGAGCTTGCTGGCAGATTCAGCCACCCAGTCACATGGCATTTCCAAGCCAACTCAAAACCAGTTTCACAACACTCCCAATTGCAAAACACTGCTACACGGCCCAAAAGCAGCACAGTAAACACAGGGCTGTTTGTTTACTGCTCTTGTATCAAATAATCACCAGAATTCACATTAAAAAGCAATAACCTTTACAAATTTCTCAACCAAACAGGACTAAGTTACTCAATCAGGTTGCAGGGAAAAGGTGCCTGGGCCCCATCCCTGCAAAGCACAGAGGGTTTAATGGGGCAGCGCGCCTCAGGGCACCGACCTGCACAGCTGTAATAGCCCTGATTTGACAGCAGCTCATTTTAAATCTCACACATTACCCCGCTGTTTGGTAAAAGGGAAGGGATCTTGTTTGCTACTGCTGCATCCCCACTTTAAAAAGCAATTAACAGATGCACAGTGTGGCCCGGCCCGCAAGGCCGTGCACGTGTAACGCATGAATTACTGAGATGCTCCGAGAAGCAGAAGAGCGCTGCCCTCCTGCGTGTGCGGGCAGGAGCGGGAGCGACACCGCCAGCTCCTGCAAAGGTCAGCGGCTTACCGTGGAGGCTCCCGTTACGGGCAGGCTGAGACACGGCAGCGCCTGGCCGAGCTCAGCGCGGTGCGGTGCCCCATCGCAGCGCAACGCGGAGCTCGGGCCCAGCGCACGAACCGCCGCTCGGCTGCCCCGGATCTCCCGGTCATCGGGGCCGACCCCGCAATGCGAGCTGCCACCGCCCGACCTCAGCTTTCCGGAGACGCAGGAAGGAGCGACAGGTACGGAGCGAAGGGGACGGGCGGAGCACCGGCGGGGTAAGGACACGGGCTGGGCACGGAGCATCGGTGCGTGAGCCGAACCCAAAAGCACGAAGGATGCTGCGGGAAGCTGCTCTAGGGGCTGCCCTCCGCCTCCCTCCGCAACGACCATCCTGGGGGTCCCGCCGGTTCCGGGATGCCCGGCCCAGCCCGCACACGAAGCACGGATGCTGCCACCCCCAGCATGGGAACGTTGCCCGCTCCGGGAGAAGCCCCGCTAGGAGCCGAACCCCTCCATCTCAACTCATTTTATCCCATCGTCTCCCCTCCCGCCCCGCGGCGCCCCACTCACCTCCCGCCCACCCACGGTTGGCCAGCGGGGCGCGGTGGCGGAGCGGAGGCTGCGGGCGGGCCCGGCACAAAGCCCCGCCCCGCGCTCCTCCCTGCGCTCCGAGAGTTTGTGGTTGGCGGCCGCTGTCGATGGTTGTAACGGTCGGGAGGGAGGGAATCTCGGGACAGCCGGGCTGTGGGCTCTCCCACTGAGGCTGGAGAAGTTCCTAATGCACCGGGAGAACAAGGCCTTTACTGAGGCCAGGAGCATCTCGAAACAAGGGAAAACATAGCTGTTTTCTTCTGTTTCAACTTCCTGCCTATCTGTATATATATCCACATCTTTGAACGCCTATGTTTACCTGCAGAACTTGCATTGCTCTGTGTTCTGAAATTATTGTGACTGCAGCATACCACCTTCTAACCATGTGTGCACCCACAGCACTGGTCTCGTATTTTCTAAACAAAGGAGGCACGTCCTGGGGTATGTTGCAGTGCAAGCCTGACAGTGCTTTTGGGCACATCAGGTTTGGGAAAGGTGGAGTGAAAAGAGACAGAAATGAAACTGCCCCAACAAGCAGGAATGAATAGAGCAGAACGCTCTTGTGGAATGTCCTGCTGCAATGCAAAGCTTGCTCCGGAACTCAGCTGCTGTCTTCTAATTCACTTGGGTGAACAATGCCATAAGTTTCACTTTCCTGGATGAAAATTCCATAAGCATACAGAAGCCTGCACAGCTGCTGTCTGCTCAGACCCAAGCAGGCTGCAATCAGACTCAGGGACTGCCAGCATTGGACTCAGTGCTGCACCAGGGCTCTCATTACAGGTGACACCAGCTTGTGTTTGTGATATAACTGAATTATATTGACAGTGTAACTTCCTGATGTCATAACCTTCTCTACTGTCCTGTTCTGGAGGCTCACCTCTCCTTTTACATGTGTACCCAATTCCATAAATGCCCTTTGTGGTACTGTGAAGGCGCCAGTGACTGTCAGCAGCAAGGTTTGTCTGCAGGATGCAGGTCCAAATTAGGGATGAAGGAGACAGCAGTCTGCCCTGATTCATTCACACTGCACATTGCTTTGTGACTCTTCCTGTGTTACCAGTACAGCTTTGAGCTGGGTAGAATGCCTCCAGCAGTGGCTTTATTTCTGAAACCCAGCAGAGGGTGGATCACAAGCAAAGCTCAAGTGATGAAATTTAACCTATACAACTTGGGGAGGGGATAAATAACACATCTGAAAGAGCCAGCTGGACAAAACAGTCTTGCACCTGAGATCTCCCCTAAGCACATGTAGATGTTACTACACAGTATGCTTAGCAAGAAGCTTAAGGGAGCCATGCTGTATCCCATAGCTGTGTGTTTAACCCATTAATGACCTGCTGACAAGGCTGCATGGCTTGCAGGGGCTAATCTGAGTCTGGTGCAGCAGGCGGTAGGAAATGGGAGGCCCTGTTATGGCCTGCTTTGTGCCCTGGAAGAAAAAATGGCTTCTGCCATCTACTCGAGCAGAAATGATAGAGGTGCACATCTCCCTGCTGCATGCCACCCTGAATGGGACGAACAGCTGAGGCCCTGCTCACTTGAGCCTGCTATTATTACAGATAGAGCTGGAAGTTGGGAGCAGCGACAGTTGTTTAACATTTTCTGCTGAGTCTCCAGCTAGCGACTATGCCATGAAGAAGGAACTGCATGTGGGGGCTCTGCTTTATGCAATTTTTTTTTTCTTTCTTTCTTTTTTTTTTTTTTTTAAGTCTCTAAAAAAAATGGTGCAGCTATTTCTGAGCTGAAGGTCAAGATAAAATAGGTTTTTTGACTATGTTAAAAATATCTCAGCTTTTTCATTAAGGAGCTCTAACATCTCATAATTTGGGGCAAGGAAGATTTTATCTGGATGATGGTTTGGATCAGAAAGTACTTTTGTCAAGAAGAAAGCATGCTTTTGTCAGTGTCTTTTCAGGCATGCTCAGCTGCATGTTCCTTTAAGGGAAGTAGGGCCGGTGTGACAGCTGACACACGTGATGCCAATAAAGGAATAAAGGTTTGTTAGCAAGGAACAGGCTATTAAGGAGCTACAAGCAAATAAAAGTGCTGTAGGAAGAGGTTCTGTTTGGTCTTGAGAGGAGATGTTTTGGAGTAGGAAGCAGTAACTTGATAAGCCTCACTTATCAGTTTGGGAAATTCTTATGTGCTATAGGTAAAGGCTGTGTTTGAGCAAAGCAACTGCAAGTGGTGTTTTTTTGTTCTTTTTTTAAAGATTGGGAATAGGAAAAGCAATGTAAAATGGGAGCTGAGTGTAGTGGGACTGAGTTGCCTTTCTGTGCTGTTCTCCCAAGCTAGTTTTGGGATGCAGAGTGCTGAACTTTGGCTAGGAGGGGGTTTGCACCTCTTAGAGAGGTAAGGCATACTTGTGATGAGGCAGCCTAGAAATATACTTAAAAGCTATTGCTCTGTGAAGGCACCTGCTACTACTGACTTACAGCTAATGACTGAATAATCTCTGCAGATTTTTGATTCTGCAAGGCTTCTTATGTGCTGCTCCCTAAGCTAAGAGCCCTGCTTGGTCGTGTTGCTGCAGCCTGGTCTGGAGCTGGGCTGAGCACATTAAGCCTTAGGAAAGCTCTGAAGGCCTGGCCTAGCAAGCTTGTATGACTTTGAGTAAGGCTGTTAACTGCTGCTGTGAAGCAATAAAGAACAGCTGTATAGCAGCTGGGTTCTTATTAGAAAATAAAGTTAAACTAGCTAGTGGCTTCTGGAAAGCCAGCCTGTGCTAAGATAAAAGTCATAACAGCAGTCCCCTGGCTCCTACTGGTGTAGGAAAGAGTAAGAAAAGGGGGTTTTGTTATGGCTCCAGGGTCAGGTCAGTGGCTGCAGTACTTAATGAGTTCTGGGTCTGCAGTGCATGGTTAAACATCCTCACTGGAAGCCTAAAATATCATGAAAGAGGGAAATCTCCAAATTCCGTTTTAAGAAAAAGCTTAGGGACAATAATTAAAGCTATGCTGGGAGGCTGGAGGGCTGACGCAGAGCTGCTCACAGCAGCCTGTTGCAGCGAGGACAGGTGCTGTTCCCAACACCCGGTTGCTCTGGTTCTGCCCGGGTAGCTTGGCTCCTAAAGAGCTTATCATCAAAGTAAAGCTGAGACACTCCAAGGTGAAAGAGTATTAGAGTAATACTGAAAGCTTCTGGTTCCATTGCTTGTCTGCTCTCTTTTTTTTTTTAACTGAGGTTTTTAAGCTGCAGAGATCATGGCCAGTGAGTGGCTCACAGGTGGGCCACCTGAGTGGAGCAGCAAAGCGTCTTAATGCAGCTGGCTTGCTGGGAGGCTTGAGTAAATGGCATTACTAGCTAATGCAATTACCTCTCTGCTGCTGTCCTCAGGCAGCCATGGGAATAAAACATGACTTAATGTCCTGCTGTAAGCTTCTGTCACAGACGCCAGGCGAGTATTTCAGCAGCAATGCAGCACTGCCGCAGCAAGGATGCGGTCTGCATCCCTCAGCAGCCAGGATGCAACTGCAGCGTGAGCACTTCCCAGCAATGAGGAGGGAACGGGAGCTGGGGGGTGAGAGGAGAGCTCATCTTCACCACGTGCTCAAACTGAATTGGAACAGAAGTGATCAATTCAGCTGTGCCTGCTCTCTGTTCTACCAAAGTGATTCTCTCATCAGCTTGGTCATCAGATGAAAGATAAAGCGCTGGCACCTTCCCCAGATATTTCTGCTCTGAAAGAAACTGCCTCCAGTCTCCCATTTGGTTTGGGGCTGAGTTGGGCTAGGAAGGGGGCTTGGAATTTATGAAACTAAATGTTTTTGTTCATTGTAATGTAGGGGAATATTAGCTTCCTCTTTTCTGTGAGGACTGAGGAAATGGAGCAGCTTCACCAAGAGCTTTCAGTAGCGGAAGGCTTCACATGTGGCTCCCAGACTGATCAGTGTTTCTGAGTCTATATTGCAATGGGTTAATATACTTTGGAAGGAAGCACGAGGCAGGTAATTTGCTGTGTTGCTGTCAGGCTGTGCCCGAGAGCTTCTGCAGTGCTCAGCTCCTGAGCTCCTAATGGCCTGGCTGTGCTGTGGCAATGCTGCGTCCACTGAGCAGTGCAGGTGTGCTCTGAACTTCAGGGCTGGGTGTGAGAGAAATTGCTTTTCCTGGTTTGTAAAATGTGGGGAGTTCTGCAATCACAGAGCTACCTGAAGGTCCCCAAATGTACTTAGGATTTAGAATTAGGGTACCTAAAGTAAATATTGACTGGCTGATGAACTTCTGAAATCAGCAATGGGAATCAGTGTACTGGTAGCCAGTTTCTTTACTAACTAGTATTCAACATTGATTCAAATTTAAGGTAATAATCACAAGTGGAGTAGTACATAAACAGCACACTTCTGGTAGATTAAAACTTTAAATTAATGGAGGCTTCCTAAACTAGGCAGATCTTTGCTCTTTTGTTTTCCATATCTTTAGATCCTGGTTTGGAGGGCAATGCTTTGTCCCCTCTACCACTGATTTCTCATTGACTCATATCAGGCTTCTTATAGCAGTATGGTTACTTTTCTGTCCAGGAAGCTTTGGAAACTATTTAATGGAGGCAAA